GTTTGTTTGTTTTTTAACCTCTGTTTTTGCTCGGATCTCAGGGTGCACTATTTATAGTCCTGGCCCTGTGCTATCATCCCATGCCTGTGCTTTCATGCGCTCTATCACCTTATACATATCCTTCACTGAGTTTTATTTTGCTGTCATGGATAGCCCATTCTGCACAGAATAATTACTTGTGCTTTCTATTTATTAGTTACACATACACATATAACAATAAGCATTGCATTACACCATACTGGAAAGCTAAAAGGGAAGGTAAAATGGAAGTAATCGTAATGTGATTGTTGGACCATTTCCTTTACAGGTAAAAAAGCAACTATAAAGCTCCAGGCAGGCTAAGGCAAGGTCCAACAAGTCCTGAGGCTTTTGTTGTTACCGTAATACAAAGTCTACTGCTTCTTAGAAGCAAAGGCAGCACTATTACACCTTGCTATATGTCTTCACCTTTGCACAAGGCTTGTGCCCTCAGGGGCACTAGAGACCCTTCAGCATCTTGTCGTTTCTGCCTGTGCTTGGAAGCTCAAGGAGTGTAGCTCTGCAGCTGGTGATGCCTCCCTGCTTCCAGGGCTGCCTGCAGTGCACGCAGCTCCTGCCTGAACACTGCAGGCACAGACTCTCCTCTGTCTCTCCATATGCTCAGGAGAACCAAATTTAATTGCCAGTTACAAGAAGCCTAAGTTAAGCCAAGCAAAATAAATGAAGAAAGCAGGTACAAGCTATTATTTCTTTCATTCCTTTGTCACTTGCACTGAGGGAGGGTGAACCCACAAGCTGGTCTGGTTTAATGTTCTTTCTCTTTTTATATAACTGAGCTCTGATTGCCTGATGCCTGATTAGCACTGAACAGGAGCAAATAACTGGTGAAAAAGGATGGTTGCTACAGTGCTGACTGCTAAAGCTGATCCTGATTAAAAAAAAAAAAAAAGATTTTCTTTTTTTCTTTTATATAAATTACTGACTAGTGCAACTAGTGCACTGCAAAACCTCCTCCCATTTCTGTTGGTCATCAATCTGCTTTTTCTTTTGTTCCTTTTTTTCTTTCCTTCTATGAAGGTGTCCCTCCACCCCACTCCTGTTTTCCCTCAACACCTGTTTGGTTAAGTATCCATTTCCCTGAAGTTTTGAGATACGAATAGGAACTGACACTGTTAGTCCCTTGACAAAGGCATTACTAATGCCTGAAGAACTCCTGGCTATAGAGCTAAAATGAAAACAACAACAAAAAATATTTTTCCCCTTCTGTTGGAGATTTCAGTCCAAAACCGGAGAGAAGTTACATCAAAATAATTGTCCTGATGATTTAACAAATCAATAATAAGCTGATAATAAATGGTATTATTTCATTCAACTTGCAGTAGCTTTATTTGCAAAGACAGTTTTGCTAAAGAGTTGTTCTAAGATAGTAGCTCCTGATCCTGGTTTGGTATTGTCCAAAAGACTGACATTTATAATAGCTGGGATTTTCACTTCTTTTCCTATTACACTAAACCTTGTTATGTTTGTTCAGAGAGGGGATGCATTCTGCCTGTTAATGCAGAGCTATCTGGGGTGATCAAAATGTGGATATAACCAGCGAATGAAGTTTACTTGAGATCACAAACAGTAGGATCTTATCCTCTGGTAGCTATTTAAATAGGAGCACAACCTATAAATAAGCATTGCTCAACTGATGTGAGATGGCCTGCACCAGCTAGTATCAGGTGAGGAGAAGGAAAAATGAAGCCAGAATTACTTCCCATATGATATGACCAACAATGATGAAAAATATTGAGGCCCGAACTTTTTTGATCCTCGTCATTTTGGCTAAAAGTAGGAGAATGCACAAGGCACTGGGCACCCATCTTTGTATTCAAGCTTTTAATATGTGAAAAAGTAACAGAGTGAGTACGCACCGGTTACTCCAGAGATGAGTATGTGCCAGCTAAAAGTCTATGTTTTGAATTTGCTTTCTGTTTTTATCTGAATTAGAACATTTTCCCAGCACAGTGAAAGTAACCTTGATTTCCTGCAGGTCTTAACTTCCAAAGTTGCCAGAAAGCAACCTCAGTTTGGAAGAGTGGGCAGCAAAGATGTGTGAATGCCTTTGAAAACATGGAGCAACTGAATGTCTATCCCTGCTTACTCTTGCAGGGACAGTTCCATGTGCTCCTTGTTCATGAGTATCACCAAACAGCTAGGTCTCTGGGTGCAGCAGTTATGAAGCAGTAGCTTGGGTGCACATTCAGAAAGCAGATGGCTTTCACGTTAGGCAGTTGCTCAGCACTTCTGCAGATGAGGTTGATCAATGGTGTATCAGGCTGGACATCTGAAATTTCTCTTTTGGGAAAGCTAGTCTATTGCTTAATATCTGGTACTTTAAGTGACTAAAATATATCTATCTATATATATTTTTTTCAGCTTGGCTATACTGTTCTTTTTTAAGAAAATACATAATAATAAAGGTGTAAGTGGTTGTTCTTTGGTGCTTCCTATAATGTGTCAGTGCTTTCCAATTCAGTGTGTCATTGTGGTCACATATATTGTGTGTCTTGTTCTCTCTTTCTCTAAAGAAGAAAGATGAACATGTCTGAAATGGTTTTGTGCATTTTAAAAATTTATTTAGTGGTTTATTTTATTGCTGCTGCACTTAAATGCTTCTACAAAGTCAGGGTTTTGGTGGTCTAAATGTAGCTTCAATGAGTAAGTAAATACCTTCCTGATCCCAGAGAAACCACAGCCTAAACATTAAATGCAGGTAACAGAAAACAGGAAAAGGCAACTGACACTAAATAACATCAGTATTTTCTGTTTCTCAGCTACATCTGTGTTGCTGAACTCACTCTCAACAATCTGATATTTCATACAGTTTTCTCTTTTCTTGATTCCACTTGTAGTGGTTTATATCAGGCTTTTCTTTTACTACTGTAATCTGTATTGTTTATGCTATCTTCATTTTCTGTCAGCGTGGCTTCGTGTTCCTGCTTTGCTGTATTGTATTGCCATATAAATAACGAAGGAGGCGGCAGCTGTAGCAAAAACTGAGCTGTGCTGGGTTTTATGAATTTCTCTTGTGAAAATTAAAAATCATTTGACTTATATAAATTACTTTGCTGGAAGAAAATCCTGAAATGAAAGTGAGTCTTGCTGGTGCCTGGAAGGCAAGAGAAATGCACAGAATTTGGTGCAATTGTGCTAGGAATGTATCTTCTGTTCATTTCTGGAAGTATAAAGCACATAGTCAAACATCTCTTCACAGTTGCAGATTTATTTATCTTAACAATAAAAGGACAAAAAAAATAAAATAACACAAAACAAATTCAGGCACCAGGTGAAACAAAACAAGCCAAAAAATCAACATCAAGCCAAGGTTTTATCACACCATCATGAAAGATATACTCAAATAACTCATTGTAAATTACCGTGAATTAATCACTACGTTAGGAAGTTGTATCACAAAATAAGTCTCCAGGGTCTTTTTCTGTAACATGCTTTTATAGGAAAGTTTGGTTGGTGTTCCTGGGAGATGAGTGTTTGTTGTTTCTCATGACAAATCACTGGGGTAGATATCAGTGACTGGCTGAGCTGTTTTTGTTTAGTGATTTCAGTACTTGGGCATTATGATTATAGCAGAGAACTGCAGTACTTCAGAAAGCAAAGGGGATATTAAACTGTGGAGAAAGTAGAAGAAATGATGGGCCATCTGCTCTGCACACTTGACAGTACATTGTGGAGCCTGGTCAACTGTTATGAAAGGCAGAGGAGAAAATTTAAAGGAAATCACAGAGTCACAGAATCACAGAACTGTAGGGGTTGTAAGGGACCTCAACAGATCATCGGGTCCAACCCCCCTGCCAAAGCAGGTTCCTCAGAGCAGAAATAGGTGACTGGGCCTGAGATACGTACTTGTAATGTACAGAATGGGTTGAGGACCATAATCCTTGTGATGGTGAGATGTACCTGGGTCTCTCAGAGCTCATACCACCAGGCAGGACCACTCACACTCCTCAGCAGACACAAATGAGATATATCCTATATTATTGTCACTTTTGGTTACTTACGGTTCATCCTGATTCAGAACTCATTCACAGCCTTAAACTGGACCTCTTTAATTAAATAGAATAGTCTCCATAGCAGAGTAGTTAGGACACTCACCTAGATCTCCCCTTGGGTCTGACACAATTTATAATTCTTGTCTGTTCTCCATTTCGTGTGAAAATATTACAGTATTACTCTAAACTGAGCAAGTTGCCAATATCACCAGGTGGACATAAATGGGCAGTGGTGATGTAAACAAAAAGCATTAACAAGCCACGAGGTGCTCAGTGGCAAAGAGATATAATTGCATAGCTCCCTGAAAGTCTTGCCTTGATTTAACAGGGGTGGTTGCAAAGAATTATTGTTCAGGATGTGTCTTGTGTTTATTTCCTCATTAATGCTCTCCAGTTACTGGTTTCATTTTTATCATTCTATGCTTGCCTTTAGAAAATAAGCAAGTTGGAGCATAAAGTGGGAAGTGCTGCACAAAACTCCCCAAATGCTTACAACCTAAAAAAAGATGAAGAACCACGGTTTCTGTAGTAGTCCTGCATGCCATGCCAGCTTGTGCATTTTGAAACACACAGATGGAAGTCTGGCCCATTTAAAACCAGTGAGATTTTTTTGTTGTGGAGCTCAGGGGCCAAAATATTACTCCAAATGTTTGAAATAGAGGCTGTAGAATTCATACTAATTGAGCCAGAAATGCCATTCTTTAAAAACTGATTGCAAAATATCTTGAAGCTTAGAATGTTTGTATACTTATTATCAAATGTTGTGAGAAAAATATAAGATAAATGAGATAAAAATTACAAGAACAGTGAGTTTTGAGTGAATAATCAGCCTTTTTCACCTAATCAATATCTCACCATCAAAAAAAGTATGTCTTTTGCATAAATCAGAAATTAAAAAAAAAAAAAGATAACTTTTTAAACTTTTTTTTTTTTCATATATATATATGTTTTTTTTTTTTTTTTCCCTAGGAAATGAATGAAGAGGTATGATATATCTTCCTTTAGCAAAAACCTATGTGAGAGGATTTGACTGGGTCCACAGAGAGATCAAATACTAAAAAGGCAATAAAGGGAGAACAATTGGAAGAAGCTGAATGAGTCACAGTGCAGTGCAGAATGATTTTCTTAATCTCCACCATGTGTTTCTGTTAAATAACTCCTTATTTTGCTTTTTATGATACTGTGACAGGTCTTAAATTGTTAGTCTCTTTTCAGATTGTATGATAATTATAAGAAATGTGGCAGGATACACAAGTACTGCAAATGTAGATGCTGCAATTTTAATGTCTGTTACCAGCTCCAATCACACCTACATATGCTTTAGACACGAAACTAATCTTAATAATTTAAATGGTACTTGCATATATTAAGCTAAGCAAATTTATTCATATTTTGTGGAATGGGTCATTTTTACCAAACACCTAAAACCAAAATGGGAATATTAATATTTTCCAAGATATTTCATTGACAGTTTTAACTCAATTTTTCCATGTCTTTAAAATATGAATTTTAATATTATGGTGACATAAGAAAAATCAGATCTTCATATTTTTGGACTAACCCATTTAGTAACTATTTCTGTATTGCAACTGTATGTATTGAGCTTTCAGTCTTACAATAATAAAAACATGCCATCTTCTGTAGTATATGTTAGGTAGAGACATATGAGGAGTTTCATCTGCTTGCTGCTTAAATTTCAGTGCACACTGGCCAGAAGGTGGTGCTTTCAACCATAGATGTGCAAATTGGGAAAGAAAGTATGAATATGAGCTGTGTGAACAGTTTTCTGCAGTAAATAATAGAGGAAAGAAGAGATATCTGTGAATTTCACGCAGGAAAACACAGCCTAAAAATGAGCCACCACGGTATTAAATTAAAAAAAAAAAAAAAGAAAAGAAAAAGGAGTAGATGTAAAAAGGAGTCTTCTCTCCTTTTTGCTTTTTGTCATTTCGATTCAATTTACTGTCTAAATAAGATTTTCTTCTGATTACAAGGTAGTGGTAATAAAGGTTGGAAAGAAAAAGCTTCTACCTGTATCAGTGATGGATTTTTGCCTGACTGCAGAACCCCTGGTGGTCATGCTGCTCCCCAAGTTTGCTCTAAGAAGCAGCGTTAAGAAAGCAGAAGGCAAACTGAAGCTCCTACTCCTCCTTGAAATAGCTTGAATTTTTGGTTTGCACTGATAGTCTTTAAAACAAACACTGTGGGAAAGATGTTAGCTATTTTTCTGAAAAGTGTATTACAAGTGGAAGAGGTGATAATGACAAGTTTTTTCCTGCTAAAACCTTCTTGCTTTCTGTCCAGCCAGAAGAATAAGAAACATCCTACAGACGGATTCTGAGTGTCTAGGATTAAACATGCACTTATGCATGTACATCCAGTGTCTAGTTGGACACCTATTTACTGCTTCTCTGCTGCCTTCCAATGATTTTGGAAGATCTTAGGGAAATCCCTAGCCATTTAAAGCTTTTATGCTCTAATCCTGCACCTTCGCTATGCTTACAACTGTGCCATTTCACCTCTGACTAGTTTTATTGCCCTCAGCAGGCTTATTTGCATATGTAAAGTTTATTAACATACTTACCTAAATGTTTGCAAATTCAAGCCATGAAAATTATCTTCTAAAGGTTTGATTGGAAATTACACTCCTTTGATTAGAACTCTGTTCTTAGCTTTCATTAAATCTCAGTGGATTTGCTTGACCTCTGGCTGATCATCCTAATTATCAGCTCTCTTTTAATGTTAATTAAAGATTTGATGGGAGATACGATGTAACAGTAAAATGAAGTAAAATAAGGTTTGTAATACAATCCAGGTCAATATTTTTTTGTTAAAAGTTGACTATATTAATAAAAATTAAATGAAAGTTTACATGCACATCCATGTTTTATTTATCTTGATCAAGCAGTGTTTCTGCTTGTAAAACAACCATTTTAGCATCAGTAGCTAATAATTCTTCAGACTTAGCAGAATTAACTTTCTGTTCTAGTTCCTGTAAATCTCTTTGGATGAGGTCTTTCGTTGTGTTCTTAATGAACATGTTAAGGTTTTTAGTTCTGTTGATTGAAGCGAATTAGTTTTGGACTTTGCTAATTGGGGACAACTGTCAAATTCTTCTCCAGGGATGAACTGAAAACTAATAAAGATATGATATCTTTGGAAATGTTTGAAGGTTCTTAATCCTCAGGGTTCCTTTGTCATTGTCCTCAATGGAGAGAGTGATTTTTTTTTTCCTTTCAGAAGGATAGCAAAATCTTACATAATATTTAAACACTGCTTTAAAAAAAGTTTTGTATCTAAGTGGTGTATATTTTGCTTAGTGTGAATAGTAATCTACTGGAAAGTCACAAAGTCCTTTCTCTGACATTTTTTTTCAGGGGACGTTTTGCCTTAGAGCTTCAAACTAAGATGTATGGTAATAGAAACTTTGGCATTTCCTATTAGTATGGATAAAGAGATTATTGTTATAACGAGAGAGCTAAACAATGTTATCACTTTCTGAAGATTATATAGATTATTGAATTTATCTAATCCTTATTAGTTCCACACCTAGAGGATTTAAATTGATGGGATGCTTTGAAAAATACTTTAGATACAAGATGAAATGTGCTATGTTTTTTCTTTACCCAGAATAGCCCCAAAAGCTCTTTGGGGAAGATCCTTTATCTTTCCATTGGTATGTGCATGTACCTACATCATACTTGGGACTATTAATCAATAAATTCAAAACTGCACCACAGAATCTGAGTAATAAGAAAAGTCAAATGCAGACAAATCTACACCATGGATAAAATGAGACTTGTGAAGCCACTGCTGTGTAGCATGACTTACAGCAGAAATACTGCACTAGCTGTGTCTAAAAGAGCTCTGTTCTTTTTCCTCTTGTTAAAACTATGCCTGTTTATAAGAGATACTTCTGTCATAAGGAAGCATTACTCAGCTTTAATAATTCTTCTTCATATTAGTCCTCATCACTGTCCTGCTTCAGGCCGGAAAAACAAAGACCTCTTGAATCTGGCACAAAGATATTTCTACACAATGTAGAAAAAAACACAGTAAGCAGGTTCAACCCTATCCCTGGACGAGATTCAGTCTGCAAGCTCAGAAGTGGGCTGTATCAAAAGCATCAGAAAAACATCAGAAGCTAGCAGAACTAAATGAATTTACAGTAGCAGAGACAGAGCCCAGTATGCCTGGCATGGTCTGGTGAATATAGCTGACGAGCGGGGTAGCCATTTCAAGGATTTCAGCAGAACTGGTCTAGGATTTCCCAGAGAATACTGCAGATCAGAAAATAACCTTTTGATCAAAATCAACCATTTCACCCAAGAAATTTCATCCAGATGAAATTCTGGGCTAAGAAACAGAAAAAAAAAAATAGTTCTCAAAATGGAACACAGCATTTAATGTTGTTTTGTTTTGTTTTGTTTTGGAGATGTATTTTTGTATTACAAATGCTATACTTCTATCATACAACTTCAATCAAAAAATATCTTTTTGTTCAGTGTTTTGTTTCAGAATGCAACCTTTGGTGTGATTCATTGAATTTTTCCTAGTACTTTTTTTTTTTTTTTTCCCTGAAAAAAATAGAATTACCTTTGTTTTCATTAAGAAAAGAAATAGGTGCAGATTTTATATATACATGTACATATGTGTACATATATATGTTATAATCCCTTCCATGAATAGAAATATGATATTTCACACAACTCTGTTATTCTTGCTCCAAGAAGAAAGTTTCACTCAGGCGAAGACTCTCTCAGGGCCTCTCTTCACAGATAGGAAGAGATTGAACCTGCTTTTGCTTCATAGGCTTTTGCTCCATATCAAAAGCACAGAGCTGTTTTCTTCAAGAAAACCTTTTGAGACAGGACAGTGGGACAATAAGTTATTGAGCATAATCTTGGTAGTTCCCAGCTCACCTTGCTGGTGATCCTACCTATCTAGGTAGGACAAATACTGCATCCCAGGTTTCCAAGCAGATGTGTCAGGGATGAAGTAAGTGCTGAGAGTTGAGGATGGGCATAAGAGGAGGAAAAGGAAACTTGTATAACGTTGGTATTGCATGTCAGTGCCTGGAAAGGTTAACTGTCACAGGAAAGAAAGGGGCTTTGTTGTTGTTGTTGCTGCTTTTTATTATTATTATTTTCTGTATTTGTTCTTTTTTTTCCAGTGAGAGGTGTTGGGAACTGAGATTTATAGTGTGAGAAGGAAGAAAACATTTGAATGAGTTAGTACTTTGGTACACATGTGAGTTATCGAAGGTGCCTGAAGGGACATTTTGCACTGCTCACTTCCTGGGGGTAAGTATCCCTGTTAGTTCTCCCATGGCCAGACAGCTGCTACTAAGGATGGTCTTCATCGATCAGCATCTCACATAGCCAGCTGTTGTAGTAAATGGATCCAGCTTCTCCCCTACCTTAAGGAGCATCCCCTTTCTGTTTTTCTCATCATTCATTAAATAATACCAGCTAGCTCTCTGTTGCAGTAGCTGGGGGATGGGAGAAAGCAGACATAATCCCCACTGCAAAGTGTTCACGATCTAAATAATCTATTTCAGTTTAGTGTGATAACAACACAACTGGCAGCAGCCGAGTAGTTCAGTGATGGTTATCAGCAGATATTCATCCACAGCCTTGTGGGATTGCACACTAAATGATTAATAATTCCCATTTAAAGGTAAAGTACGTTAACTGAGAAATAAGGATTTACTTAGCTTTTGCTGAGCATTAGTATAATTGAGCTAAAAATAAATAAATAAAGTTACAGGGCTGCAAGACAAGGGTTAGTTATGATTCTATTTCTAATTTACTGAGGATAAAGGACATTCTTTGGAGGAAAAACAAAACAAAACAAAACAAAAACAGAGAAAATAGGAATGTCATTTTAAAACTTGCTTGAATGACGGAAGTGGAAAATAGATTGGACCAAGGCAAAATGATTATTTATCCTTAAATACTACATTGAGACAGAGAGCTGGCACTTGTACCTATCAAATGTATTAAAGTCCTGGCAAGTTATTTATTTGATGCAATCAGCACAAATTGATACAAACACTTTTACAGTAAAGAAAACTATTCACCAATGAACATCATGTGAAATTACCTAGTGAAATAGTGAGGGGACAAGACAAGTGATTAAAGTGATATTTTTTGCACAGCACAAGGAAGCTTGTAAGGACAGACAGGAGGTAATTCACTGTCTTGTGGTCCATACTTGTCTGAATGGTGAATCATACAATTTATTCAAATGTGTTGTTGGAGCATTAGTACAAAGTTAATGATGTCCTGATCAGGAAAAATAATCAGTCATTTGTTATTTTGTCGCCATGTTCCAAGACAAGATCCACATGCTGCTTGGACTAGTACAAATCCAGTGAAGCCATGAAGCCATCCTGCCTTTCCTCAAATCTCACATGACATATTGAAAAGTGGGCCCACGTGAACCCAATGAAGTTCAACAAGTCCAAGTGCAAGGTTCTGCACCTGTGTCGGTACAATCCCAGACAGGAATCCAGACTGGGAGAAGAACTCGTTGAGAGCAGCCCTGCAGAGAAAGACTTGGCAGTTCTGGTGGGTGAAAAGCTTGATGTGAGCCAGCAGTGCATGACTGCAGCCCAGAAGGTGAACTGCATCCTGGGCTGCATCAAAAGACGCATGCCCAGCAGATCAAGGGAGGTGATTGTCCTCCTCTGCTCTGCCCTTCTGAGGTCCCAAATGTATCGCTGCATCCAGGTTTGGAGCCCCCAGTACCAGAAAGATGTAGACCTGTTAGAGAGAGTCTAGAGGAGGGCCATGATGATGATCAGTGGGCTGGAGCACCTTTCCTATGAAGAAAAGCTGAGAGATCTGGTGCTATTCAGTTTGAAGAAAAGAGGCTTTATTGTATCTTTTCAATACTTAAAGGGGGCTTATAAAAAAAATGGTGAACAACATTTTGGTTAATCAGATAATGACAGGACAAGGGAGAATGTTCTTGAACTAAAAGTGGTGAGATTTAGATTACAGGTTAGGAGGAAATTCTTCACTCAGAAGGTGGTGAGGCACTAGAACAGGTTCCCGGAGAGGTTGTGGATGTCCCATCCCTGGAAGTGCTCAAGTCCAAGCTGGATGAGGCCCTCAGCAACCTAATTTAGTGAGCTGGAACTGGATGACCTGTAAGGTCCCTTCCAACCTTAGCCATTCTATGATTCTGTGATTCAGTGATTCTTAATTCTATGATATGATTCTACGATATTACCTCTCCATAGAGCTTGTTGTCTTGTGTTCCCAGCACCCTCTAATATGGCTCCACAACTGCTGTTTGGAGCTGTTAATGAAATGTCTTGTGCAAATCCATATAAACATTTCTTCAATGATGTATGGCAAAAATAACATGATGATTACAGATAAAAGTCTGGCACATCTGACTCATCATCATGTCCAGATTTAGTAATTCACCATATAGGCACCATACTATCAGCGAAGATGCTGGCAAGACCAAGAGTGACTACAGGACTTTTGGAGACAGGAGAAAGGCACAGAAGCCAAGGTATATATCAGCTCTACCCTTTATGGCTGCTGTTGCCAGAAGGTGTATTTGGCTGCTTCTGGAACCCTCTCCAAAGCATGAGTATTGCCGGTAAGAAGTTAAATCTGCCTGATGCTATGCAGCAAGAACATATTTGCTAATAGACATGCTAATGTACTGAGGAGAGCTTAAATTAATTTAACTGGAATACATACTTCAAAGCTTACACATAATTAGGAAAATGCAGAGAAAAGCGTACAAGGGAAGGCATGACTTGGCAGTATCCCATATTCTTCTGGGTAAGGTGAA